CCACCACACCCCTCACTTGAGGTTCAAAGCTGTTAAAACTTTCTGTTAGGCAAACTTCCTCCAGAACTTAGGAAGGCAGGGACTTGCACAGAGACAAAACAACCTGGAGAAACCTTGTGCTAAAGCAGGGCACGGACTCCATGGTGGCAAGCTAACAATGGCGCACAATTTGAAGGGAGTATGGCTGCTGGCAGATGCTCATTCACATGACACAGCCTAGGCCCTTAGCTTGCTTCCTCCTTGTCCTGACCCTATGAAAATAACACAACAGTTTCCATAGCAACATTGCCGGAAGCACTCATAGGCACCCATGTTCTTCTCTGGAAGAACCATGGCATAATACCTCTTCCCAACAGGGCTTGTGAGAGTTCAGAGAAGAGCCTTTAAAAGGAAAGCCAGATTTGCTTCAAAGTCACACCCTCATTTCCAAAGGAACTATACCATAAACAGGCAAAATATCTCAACTCAAAATACAGTTGAGAGAGAGTGTGTGCTTAAAACCAGGACAGACTTTAAAGACATTCCAATTTTAAGAAATTCATGAGACCTATGATCAGTTTTCATTAGCTGACAATACCATTAAACAATAAGAACAAATAAACCAAAACTAGTTTTATACCATAAACAGAGAGATAAAATGAAGACATTTCTTCATTACGAGGTTGCTATCAAAACAAACCCTCCAGGAATGTTTGCTGACACTCGCAATAGGTTCTCGTTCCATCGGGTCATGCCAAGAGAAGGAAGCTTGGCAACCAGAGGGCCACCCTGATGTGTGGGCAACCCTGTGCTCACTGCCCTCCTGCTGTGGTTTCCAGGAACCACTTTCACAGGCCTAACAGTGAGGGGTGATTTCCACATACATCACTTGGGCGGTCTTCGTTGCTGAATAGAGCGACTAAATTGTTGCATGTGTACCCAACCTGACAAGAGCAGAGCGTGCTCCCGGAGGGGCTGTCTCAAATACCCTTGTACAGGCAAAGCACCCTCGCTATTTTAACCACATCTGCTGAGTGTAAGCGGCAAAACAAAACCAAGAGCCCTGAGACTGACACCAACTCATCTCATACGTGGTACCTTCTGGCCCACGCTTTCCGGCACTCGCCACACCACCACAGAAATCAGCACAGCCACGTATATATTTCCAACACCCTCCCAAGGATGCTGTCCCCAAAAAGGAATCATAAAATGATGTTAAATCATTTCTTCTGAATGTATACAAAATGGCAACATTTGGACTCATGTAACATAAAGGCTAAGAAACTACAATAGTGAAACTAAAAAAAAAAAATTTTAATTTTATACATTTACTCTCCCACATGAAAATAAAATCCCTGAGAAAACCCTAATGGTTGGTGCGAAGAGTAGCTCTGTGGTTGAAGCCTCCTGGGCAAACATGAGACCTCAGTTCAATCTCTGGAACCAGGAAACAAACAAACAAACAACTTCCAAATGCATTCTTCATAGAAGTAGCGAAACAAACTCTAAATTTCTAAGGAACTTAAAAAAAAAAAATCTCCAAAGAGCCAAAAGCCAGAGGCATCACAGTTCCTGATTTAAGATTCTATTACAGGAGCTAAGGCCATACCTCAGCGATAAAGCACTTGCCTGCCGCACACAGGGCCCTGGGGTTGATCTCTAGCACCTCCAATGAATGAACAAACTTTTGTTACAAAGCTATAGTAGTCAAAACTGCAGACTGTTGTGAACATAAACACATAGGGTCATGGAACAGAACAGAGGGCTGGGAAATAAATGCGAATATACACAACTGATTTTTTTTTTAACTAGGACACCAAAAAGACCCAATGGGGATATGGAAGGTTAGTGGGATGGAGAGTTCAAGGCCAGCTATGTTCTGAGACCCTATAAATCAGCCAGCCAACTAACCAATCAATCATTAGAAAGTGTTCCAGAAAACTAGATCTCCATATCTAGAAGAATGACAGTGGACTCTTATGCCACATAAAAATCAACTTGAATTGGTGGGAGGAAGACCCAAATCTAAGACAAGAAAAAGGCAAATCAAGCTACAATTTGTTAGGCTGTTAGTTGAAAACTCAGAATACACATTTGTAATAGAAATGTATTAGTAAGGCATAAAGGTCAATATAGAGAATCTACTTAATCCTAGTCCATGTGAATAAGACAGTAGAACTTTTCCCTGCATCTAGAAACTCCTCTCCCCTCACTAGCTACAGAGGGCTCACAGTCCTGCCTCCTCCTCTGCCCTTGCACTAGGGAGAAGACCCTCCCAACTGCATCCCCCTGGTTTATAGCTGCAGCAGCTTCCAGGCTGGAGGAGGTGTGGGTGTGAGCATTCCAGGATCCCTGGGAGAGTCTTCAACCCAGGGTGGGAAGGACATCCTGCAAGTACCATTTTACTCCCTCTGGGTCCCTATTGTTTCCTGATCACCATTCCTTTATCCCGGCAGCCTCCATCTTTTCCTTCCTCAGCATCCAGGGTGGTGTTCTCCACTGTCTTTACTAACTGATTACAGCAACTCATACCGAAAGGTGAATGGGTCTACTAGGCGATTCGGCTCTATTTTAAAGTTAACTTCTAATGAAGGGGAGGATTGCTACCCATACCTAAACTTCTGGGCTCCCAGTCTCCTCCAGTTCTTAAAGAGTTCCTAATCAACAATTTCGCTCATTTGACCTCTATATGAATTGAAAGCCCTGGAGAGGCATTTATCTCCCCAGTCACCCTGAGAGCTCCCAAGCCCTCCAGAGAAAAATAAGAGAAAGAGAGAAGGGAATGACAGAAAGGAGGAAAACTGCTTTGTTCTCTCGCTTCTTGAAACCCAAAGAAATGCGTGTGCATCCCACATCACAGAGAGGTAAAAATCTGGCTCAGAGCCATGCCCACATTATAAACAAACACTGAATATGTGTGCCAAATCAAGCAATTGAGTCTGCTGTTAGATGAATCCTCCTGCTTCCAGGATGGGAGTATCTTTTATGCTGAACTGTCTTTGGAGCTATCTGATTGGGCAGACCCATATTTTAGAAACATCATTCCTGAAACACTTATCTGGTCAGCCATTTGTAATAGAGTTCTCTGTCCCAAAATTAAAAAGAGACCATTCTTCAGATGAAAAGAGAGAGAGAGAGTGAGAGAGAGACTTCCAAGTATCTCATCCCCCCTTATGCTCAATTCCATCTTTTAGAATATTAATCCTCAGAACCCCTTTTCTAGACTCTAGGAAATCAGGACTACTGATTTCTTGGCGAGGCCTCGAAATTGGTAACTGCCAGTTGGCAAACACAGCTCTCCATCAGCCACCTGAAATAATTCAGGGAGACTGAAGAAGACCTTGCTAATTCCGACATCCATGGTGACACCTCAGTGGGGAGCTTGCGGTCCGTCAGTAGAGCTCTCAGACTCTGGTTTTCAGTTCATCCTTTAACATGCTTATAAAAGAAGGACCAAGTGAGACTTTCAGATCTGCATCGGGACACAAGTGAGGGTCAGGTTTGCAAAACCAATTGGGCGGCTTTTGCACCCACTGCACATTCACACATATGTCCCTTATTACCCAGTGGAAAACCATTAAATGCACAGTAGTTTTGCCAAGTGGCGTTAGCATTTAACAGCTTCTTCGCTTAACAGCTCCAACTCTCATTATATTTTGCCATGTGGTACATGGGACTTTTATGCGTTTAACAGTTTAGGGAGGCTCTACAGTGTTTTCTTTTCAAGCATTTTCATCCTATGGTTAGACATATCTTAGCAAACTTAGTTCACTTGTTTTATTGAGGAAGGGAGTCGGAGACATTTGGAAGAATGACTACATGGAAACTGAGAAAGGAAATGGAACGTTTCAATCCTCTTCAAACTCCTTTGGTATTCTCTCTCTTTATTAAAAACTGAAGGTAAGTTCCCGTAAAACTGCAGGTCAAAAAAATAAGTTTATCTGCAAACAATTAGTAGAAATATAACATTAATCATTTTAAGACTTAATTTTTATCGAACTCCTTCTTGTTTAATAAAATGTGACAGACTGTAACTTAGTGCTATGACACACAGTAGGAACTCAGTACTATAGCACACAGTAGGAACTCAGTAGAATAGCACACATAGTAGAAACTATGGCACACAGCAGATCTGTTAGGGAGAGGGTAGGGACCACTTTACCATTTGCATATGTGGGAATGAAAGAATTTGTCATGCAAAGCTCAAAATCAGAGGACTCTCAAAACTACACTGCAGCTAACTTCCATCCCCTCTACCCTGCCTTAACTGCTTCTCCTCAAGCAGGCCTAACCCGGAAGCCGCCCCCTTAAACAACCTGAGGTGGAGGCTGGGGGCCCATCAACTGTTGCTGCTTTCAGAAGGGAAGCCAAGCATCTGTGCGCCACTTTCCCCTGAGCATAGCGCACGTCCCGCAGTCCTGGCGCTCAACGCTTTTACTGGAGAAGCATCTACGTTTTTCTGTTAAAGGATTTTAGCACTTATTCTGGAGCCCCCACATGTGTGTTCTCCTGGAAAAACAACTGTATTCCATACGTGATCGAAACACCTGACAATCACAAGGTGTCTCTGGGGATGGGCAAAAGCGTTGATTATAGCAAAGTCAGTCTTTGCCCTGGTGGGAATAGGAAGCGATGAGCCCTGTTCTAAATGGGTCTGGAGGAAGGGGCTGTTATGCACAGGCTAAATTTTCTTTAAATTAAAAAAAAAATAAATCCATTTCCCAAGAAACAGAAAAAATGTTTTCAATGACTACAGGAAGCTTTGGATAAGGGGAGAAATAGTTCAACCCTGATTCTTTACTATCAAATTGTTATTTAAGAGACTGAGGCCAGGTTTTGGCATTGTCTCTGCTCTGAACTCCAGAGGGAGTTGCTGCAAAGCCATGGGGCAGAAGGCACAACATGATGGGCTCCCCAGGGCTTATTATTGTTATTATTATTAGAAAAACAGATGTGTTTTTATTGGAGGGGAGGGAGAGCGGTCCCAGCCCTCCATTTTGCTCTTTTAAAAAATCACTCACCTGACTTTTGTTTGCAGCCACTTTGGCAAACAGGGCTTGAGACACCTTGGCCCTTTTCATCTCCTGTTGGATCTCATCATAAATGGCAGCTGTGATGTTGACGTTGGCGCCGTCCACCTTAATAGGAAGGTCTGTTGTCGGTGTCGAGGTTTTGGCCTACCAAGAGACCATGGAAATAATAATTTAAAAAGTGCTGCATTCAGAGCAACCATCTGTGCAGAAATTATCAGAGGGTTTCAGTCAGCTGATGCCAAACCACATTAGCTACAGAGGGACACTTCCTGTCCATTATTCTAATCAGGTTAATTGTGATTGGAAATAATTGCAATGCATTCCTATAGGACATTCAGAATCCTGTCAGCTCCTGCTTCCCCTCACAGTGTCCTGGTAGCTCACAGGTAGGAAAGCCACCCTGAGCCCCAAAATATGCCACCTATCTGCAAGCAAGCGCACAAAACACACTCACCTTTTCCTTTGTAAAAATGACACAACTTACAGAAGAGCCAATTCTTCAAGAAAAAAAAAAACAAAACCAACAACTGAGTAAATGGGTAGAGGTCTCTAAATAATAAATTATTACTCAATTTAACGCACTCCCGTGAGTACCTCTCATCCTTTATTAAGGCTTCATGTATGTTATTTGAGTATGTGCAGTTCCCATCATTATGCTACCCAGACAGTCACCTAATTTCACCTAGGAAATCACTGGAAATGAAACAAAATTTCATTTCATAAAACTCGGCTTCAGATGCCTTCCATGCGCAGTTTTCATTTTCTTAAACTCATATTGTGGTTTTATGCATTCTGCCACGCTCGTTTTAATTGAATGATTTCCCATTAGCTTCAGAGACAAATGAAGGACAATGCAGAAGGTGTTGTGCTTCCTGGGGTAGGAATAGCCTAAGACATCCGAGTCAACTGGGGCCAGAAGACTGCCGGAGAGCAGTTGCTTGGTCTGATCCCGAAGCTGCCTACCTGGAAGGTCCAAGCTGATTTCCTAAACTCAGGGACAAATTCATCCTTTCCCTTGGGTACGCGGGCACTGATGACTAAATGGGCCTACGTTTGGGTTCTTTTTCTCCTCACTCACTCTAAAAGCCCGTAATAAGAATGATGACTGCCAAGCGCAGCTTTCCTATGTTGATGCCCTGAGCTGCCCTCCCCTAGGCTGGCACTATGCAGGTCTGAGAGAAGACCTCACACATTTGAGACATGGGGCTGTCACAATCCTGGTTTGCCTACTCTAAGTTCCCATGGAGGCTTGGATTCCTGAGAGAGCACGGTGGCACTTGCCATCTTTCTTTGCCCTCCCCATCCCAAATTCTTTGCAGGTTACTGCCAAGTCATTGTGAGTGTAATTTATGAGCTTCTGTGTGCCAGGCCCTCTAGGAAGACTGTTAACTTCTGTTTTCTCCTTGTAACTCTTGTGAAAAAAAAAAAAAAAATCCAACAGTGAGGTGTCAGGATTTTTATTTGCAGGTAAAGGCTCTGAAATGGAAGTGGTCTTAGCTTGGTATAAAGGTCGTGCGATAGTAAGGGTGATCAATGAACACCATGAACCCAGGCAGTTCAGACTCCAGAGCCTTGGTTCCACTCTGCTACTCCACCCCCACACAAGAGAAGCTGTACTGGCAAGTGTCTTCTTCCCAGACAGGCCAAGCCTCTAGTTTCTTCGAGAAGTTCTTTTTTTTTTTTTTTCCTCAAAATCCCCAGTTCTCCCACTGTGCTCTCCTTATTAAGCGAAGGCTATAGCATTTCTTTGCTGTTGTCACCACCTTCATCATCTTACCTCATGCCTTAACTCATCACTTGGCTAAATCCAAGTGATAACCAGAATACGTGGGAAGATTCTGGATTCTGGCATCAGTATGACTACAGTTCCAATCCCCACTCTACCACTCAGCCATGGGAACTAACTTCCGCAGAGGCCTGTTTCCTCATTGGAAACATAAGAGCATCACCACAAAACGGTGATGGTGGATGCATGCAAAACGTTCATAGTACATGCTGTGCCACCAGCGAGTAAATGGCCACTTTCCTCCTGTGTCATGTACACTGAAGGACACTGGCTGCTGAGGGATTACAAGAAAAGACTGGAGGTTTAATGTCAAATCTGAAATGTGTTCAATGTATTGTTAAACTGATAATCAAGTACTTGGGGGGGTATAGAAAAGGATGTGTGTAAAGCTGCCTGTGTGTACAAAGTTACTGGCTCCAACGGAGGGCTGTTGTGGTTCCCACTTACATCCAACCTCAACCCTCTATGGGCATTTGCGTCATTTTTTTTTCCAGTTGTAATCAGGGCCTCATGTAGTTTACGCTGGCCTTGAACTTGCTTTGTAACTATTAACCTTGAATTTCTGACCCTCCCGCTTTTATTTCACCTCCTGAGGGCTGAGATTGCAGGCACGTGTCACTGTTTCCTGGTTTTCTGTTGTTGTTGTTTGTACAAAGCATTTTTATTATTGAGACACATCAGAAAATTTAAATACATGGGTACATAGGTAAACATGAAGTGTTTGAAAGATTCTAATAACTTTCTTTTTCCCAGCCTTCAGCAGCAGATATAGAATAAAATGTACAGACATGGCACGAGCACTATAATCCTTAAAAGTATGTCTGAATATTTCATATGTTTTTTCAGAAATCAGAAAACTGTAAAATTAAGTGCTGAACTTCCTGTTCATACCCCTAGGGGAAGCTTTACCTATAAAATTTCAGGATGGGATTCTAATTCAGACAAAAACAAAAACAATGCCATAATGTGAAGCCATATTAAGCTTGACAGACCTTGGAAGTCTCATGAAAGGTGCTGAAGACACAAACTTGTTAGAAAAATATTGCAAAGACACCAAAACCAAAACGGGCCAATCTGTGCTGTTTCCTAACAAGACCTAGTGGCCTTCTTCCAGGAGAACTTCCTGGCCAAAGGGACATGTAGTGGGAAATATGGCTAGACTCTCCAATAATGGCTCAACAGCCTCTGAACATAAATACTAATGAATTCACTAGCAGTGAATAGTGCAAATCATCAATGTCCCAACAACAGTCCACTGTGTATTCCCTGATATTTAAAAAGAAATAAATTAAAAGGCTTGGTTGTACATGCCCAAAGTACGCAATGGAGACTTTAACAACAGATATGACTCATAACTTACTAAAGACTAAAGGGGTAATGCAGTTCGGCAGGGCATGACAGAAAGTGATCTTTAGTTACAAACCTACTGTAGGGGGCAAAAATATACAATCAAGATATGTGGGAAGAAAATGACGATATCCTTGTGACGGCTCTAATACTCTTAACAGAATAAAGTTCTGACTCTGCGTTTAATCAGCTTCTGGGAACTGATCAGAAAACAAACTAGTAAGAACAAACCTACGGTATCTAGGCAAAGCAACCTTTTATTTTGAAGTGCTCAGTTTCCCGTTTTGCACAAACCTGGGTATATGCCGACTTGCTGGTTGGCTTTGAGAACCAGCACTCAGAATTCATGGATCCCAGAGAATGGGATGGTTTTATCTGTGTCAGCAAAGCAGGGGGAGCAGGCAGTAGGAAATAAGTTGCTTGCACTTGACCCTGCCTACCTTGAGTTCTGAACACGTAAGAAGTGTGTAGATAGGAAAGCCAGAAGTCCCCAAATCCTAGGAGTGACAAAAACTGGGGCCTCCAGTCACCAACATCCATGGCTCTAGCCCAGCTACTGCACTCCCTACACATTAAACTTTTCCACTGTATCTCTATTTTTAAAAAGTTCTTATTTTATTTTTAATGGGGGGGAGGCGAGGTGCACACGCGAGCAGGCGCCCAAGGAGACCAAGGAGGGACTGGATCCTCCTGGAGCTGGAGTAACAAACAAAAGTAATAACCAATCTGAACTGCTGAGCCATCTCTCCAGCCCTCCATTTTGTCTTTCTGAACTGCTTACAGCAGCATTTCTTGCCCTCAACGATCTACCCCCCACATTGAAGAGAAAAAGCCATTTAAGGGGAACAAAGTGCTTGTTACACAAACTCAGCTTCCACCCAACCCCCACTTCTTCTGAAACTGCATCAACGGATAGGGACTCACCCCCACCTACTCCTGCCCTGTCCCCCTCACCTGCTTATACGGAAGAATGGGACTTTCCTGAAGGCAAAGGAATACCGTACCTCGGTAAGGGATTGCAGCGTGATACAGCCAGAGGCCATATCCTTTGACCTTGTTGGTTTTCAAGAGAAAACAGAGTGGCCATGAGGCAATGGGTTTGTGAGTGAAGTGTGGAGCGGACAGCTCACCTGTGGGGTTCGGGAGGAGCTGGGGCTGCTTGAGGCAGAGGAGACCATGCTCACATTGGGGTTCATGCTACGCTCCCGCTCGTCCTGGTAAATGCGATCACGCTCCACTTCCGGCAGATTGAGGAAGTTCTGCATGGCCCTCAGGTTTACAAGGAGAGACTGAGACGCGGTCCTGGGGTCCTCTTCCTTGCGCAGTATCTCTGACAGTAATCCCTGGTAGAGTGGGGGGAAAAAACAGGCAAAGTCAAGTCTGCAGGTTTACGAGGATGGGTTCCATCCTCCGCCCTACTGGTCCTCTGTTTGGAATAACCCGCTTGAGAGGATATCGGGAACATGCCTAATTCCTTTGGGCCCGGGAGGAGTCTGTGGGAATGTGCTCCCTTTCCGGGGCTGTGCCTTATTTTAGGACTTGTATTCTGCCACCTCATCATCGCTGTAATAATCCTACGTGCCGCGATGCCAGCGAGCAAGGTAGGCGCTCCGGAGGAAATGTGGAACTGCAATTACCACCAGGTGCCTCCTGCAAGTATTTCAGGAGCTGTTAGAACTCTCTCTGCTTGAAACTGGGAACTCTTGGCAGTCCTGCTTAGCTTTACAAATCTGCCAAGTTTGGTAAATTTAGTTCCGACATTTAAACAGCATGGGAGATTTACATCGATTAAAAAAAAAAAAAAAAAAAAAAACAACTTTGGCTGAATTTGTGTATGGCCGGCCACTGATTTCAACATAGATGTTTCCTAAGGCAAAGGCAGGGGGAGATGAAAAATTAAAAAAAAAAAAAAAAAAAGTAAGCAAATGGCTGTAATCTGTCACCTCTCTGATAACTTCTCAGCCTTCACATACGATAGTTAAGGTTTTAGGGGTACAAGACACCTCAGACTTTTGAGGGGCAGCCTTGTGGGACGCTCTGATCTCTCAAGGGATGAAAATGTGGTCACATCGGCTAAGGACCTGCGCATGCGCTAACTGCAGTGTGGCTCGGCTCTGGTGCCTTCTGAATGTGTGACTCAACCAAATCAGAGAGCTTTAGACGCAGTGTTTTCGTGTGTTCTAATGACACAGAATTCACAGAGATTTTGCCAGTACTCTAGTAACGCGGCACGGCCTACGAGGACACGAGCTAGAGCAGCGGTCTCCACCTGTGAGTCTCGACCCCGCTGGGGGTCCAATGACCCTTTCCCTGCATATCAGCTGTTTACATTACGATTCACAACAGTAGCAAAATTACAGTTAGGAAGTGGCAACAAAACTAATGTTATGGTTGGGGGTCACCCCAACGTGAGGAGCTGTACGGAAGGGTGGCAGCATTAGGAAGGCTGAGAACCACAGAGCTAGAGTGACGTCAGGGCAGAGGTAGACCCACTACCGCTCCGCGCAATTGCTGATTTAGCGCGCAGAGGCACCGGTTCATACTCTCAGATGACATCCCTTCGCAGGGCCCTGTGAGATCAGGGTTTAGGACTGTTCCCCCGGGAGGAGCTACGATGTTAATCCTGTCGCTCTGAACAGATGGGGCGACTCTTAAGTCATGAAAAGTCACTGCTATGAACTGCAGTGAAGCGCTGCCGGTGCCAAAGATGTTCGCACTGAGGGGAATTAGGATAAATGCACGAGACGCGGCTCAAGTGTAAAGCAGCAGTGGATGCGAGAGCTCTTCTTTGGCGGGTCAGAAGTCTGCAGGTTACAGTGGGCATTTCAATATAAATTAGTGCATTGCAATGTGGTGAGGAAAATGCCACTCGTCGGGGTGCACATCACGCAGTTATCAACATTTTAAGGAGGTGTCATCGTCACTCAGGACGTCACATCACATAAGGGCTGGCAGGATGATTCGGTGGGTAAGGGTGCTTGCCTTATGACTTTGGTTCAGTTCCTGGGACTTCCACAGTAGGAGGAGAGAACTGACCCCTGCATGCTATCCTGACCCCCACATGTGCACTGCCATGCATGCATGCACATGCATGGCTGCACACACACACACCACACACATACACACAGTCACATAAAACCCAATATTTTTTTTTTTTTTAAAATCACATAAAGCAACTACACTGCCAGAGAACTGCCAGTGGTATGCCATCTGCCAGCTCTGCACTTGGGGGGCACCTTACCTGCATTAGAGGAATCCTGATACTTGGGAGAAATGCCCATACACATATAGCTAGGAAGCACACAGTGCTTGTTTGGGGTGAGAATGTGAATAAGGATGAAACATACTACATAACAGAGGTAAAAGAAACTGTGTGTGTGCGCGTGCGTGCGTGCGTGCGTGCTAGTTAGTATGTGTGCATGCACATATGTGCTCAAGGAAAGGGCAAGGTAAGTGGTGTGTGTAAAAATATCCTGCTGCTAACATGATGAGAAGAAAATTCAGCTCTCGTGGCAGGCTTTTAGAAGCAACAAGTGAGGAGCCTGTCTTCCAGGAAAGTGTTCTGCACTCCATGAATTGATTCTCTTTCTGAAATGAAGAGTCAGTTGTGGCTTGAGTTGCCCTACTTCACATTTTAACGGAGCAACCTGAAATATACATAATGGATTTGCTTCAAAGACTTTCTTTAAAAAAAAAAAAATCTCTAAATTAATATGAGAAAAGGAAGTGGATTTTAAATTGCTTCCAATTTCCAAAAGTCAGTTAAGATACAAAGATTGATATTTTCTGAGCTTTCTTTCATGATGAATCATGCACAAAAAGAATGAGTTCGTTTTCCCCCTCTCAATTCTCTCTCCGCAACCTACCATCGGTATTATAATAAAGAAGCTTCAGGGTTATCATGGAGATACTTACTCTGATTATAATTCAAAATATCTCCAAGGCAGAGTTTAACTTTTTCTTCCTCCATGAAGTTATTTTCATGAGTCACATAGTAGATTACAGCAAAGGCTTTTACGTAGGAAATAGTTATCTATTTAGTTATATATATATAACTATATATATATATAACTATATATATATAAAGATTGTTTGAATGCACCATACCTAAAAATTATGTTGGTAGGTTCCCAAATAACAACAAAGAAGTCATTAAAAATTATGGAGCGTTTTTATTTGTTTCTTGAGTTTACTTTATGTTCTCTTACTATGAAACTGTATAGGATCCTTGTTCTACATCTGTCATGTGCTAGACAGCCTTCTAGGAAAATTCACCCATCTCTCAGGGCAACGAATACAGAGCACCCTTAAGGATGGCTGCTGGTCAGCACCACTGCTGAAGAAAAAGACATACAGCATTTGTATTTTAAGTGGCTGGTGGAATACATTGCTTTCCTCCAGTAATTTACCTAATTGCAGATACAGTATCAAATGAGCAGGCTTGGCCAGTGTCACCTTCATATACAGGCTCCAGAAGATTACAGCATTGCTCCGAATCCTTCACCTCAACTCCCATCAGCATGGCAGTGGTCCCAAAGTGCATTCTTTTCACTGGGGACATTTTAATAGCAGGTGACTAACAGGAGTGAACAAGACCTTAGCTGTTTTGTTCTGATAGTTTTATTTATGTGCCTTTGACTACTTGTAAACTAAGATTTTAAAAGTGTGGTCTAAATTCTGTAGACATACATGTAAAGTGAATTCAGTTAGTAGAAAATCACACACACACACACACACACACACACACACACACCAAAATGTACAGCCTAACTCTCAACCTCCACAGAAACCACCCCACAGCCCACTAATTATCAAGATGAGTAAATGTTTATCATATTGAATCTGTCTTGAATGGAACATAAATTAATAATTTATCTCACATAAATATTTCTAAAGCTTTTGCTACTATGTCATCTGGCATTTTAATTATCAACCAGCCAAGCAGGAGGTGTCACTTGGACATTGCCATTATGCAGCCTGAGAAACAGAAAATGTGGTATGGCACCTGGGTGCTGCGAAGGAAAAAAAAATAAAAAGATACACTTCTATCAGTAGGAAGGTCATGAAAAGGAATTAATAAATTAACCAGAATGTTGCTTATTAAACTTTCATATCACTAATCATATTAAAATATACTGCCAGTATTGAGTAAAATGGCCAGTAAGCATTTGCCTCATTGTAGGCAATAGACCCTTCTCCAGGGAGATGTGACAGTTTCCTCACTGCTGTTACCCTTCTTTCAGAAGACAAGGGAACACGCTGCCTACAGGGGTACAGGTTACCACAAAGTGCACAAATCCTGCACAATATTGTTGGGTGCTACTTCACTGGAAAAAAAAGAGGTTTAGCCAAAAACATCCTCATGGCTCATCAATGGGGGAGTTTACAAGCTTTGCAGACACTGCTAGCACCAGCAAGAACAGACAGGGCTGGGAAGGAACTCACTATAAGTCAAAATAATTCAAAGTACAAGACAACAAATTGTAAATGCGGCGGTTTGCCTCTTAATACAGGCTCTCTTCAAAGATAAAAGGAAGAAAGTGAAGTGATTTTTAAAGCAAAAGAAATTCCTGTTCTTATTTTGCCTGTTGTAAAACAGCACTTGTGAGTAACACTGAATGGATTGCATTTGTCGCTGAGCTTTCTGTTTCAATGCTGCACCAGCTGGTACAGTCTTTCTTATGCTAGTGTGCAGGGTACACACTGATACTCGGAAAGGTGTGGTAAGCATTATCACAAGGGACTCTCAAGCTTCTACACTAGTCTTGTCCCCTTTTCAGGGACAGCTAACAAATGAGCTTTCAATCCTGAAGAGAACACATACCCGCCTGGCCTAGGTTTTCAGTTTTAAGATTGCACAGACCCCCACAGGGCAAGGCAGGACTGGCTGGATCTGAACAGGTATATTTAGATGTAGTTTTTAAACTTTTGGTAACTTTCTAGAGTCAGTCACAGGGGGAAAAAAATCTATGGAAACGCTAAGCCAGATATCTCCCCTCCACTGTCTAGGGAACCCCCAAATTGGTATAACTGTCCCAAAGACCAGCAGTTCCATCAATTCCTTCCTTATTATGAGTTGGTAAAAAGATCAGGGAGGAGTGAGAAGACCAAAAAAGAGAAAGATCCTGCTTCCAAAGAGCTTTCTGCATGGCGGGAGGAAGGTTTCACAGGAGCGCACTGTAAAAGGTGCTGGCTAAGTGTGGTGGTGCATGCTCACATACCAGTGAGCTCAGAATTTACGAGGCGGAAGGATAATGAGGTCAAGGCTATCCCGGGGTCAAGCACTGAGACCCTGTCCCAAATAGGAACAAGGAAAGGCAGGCAGAAAGAGTGCTGGGGAAGA